GCAATAGAGAAACCAAAAAAAAAAAAATCCTGCAATCAAGGAGAACGATAAACAGAAGTGGAGAAGATCTAAATCAAATTAGCAAATTTAACTATCTGGGGATCCCTGGTTGTGTAGTGGTTACACGTTGGGCTGCTAACCGCAAGGTAAGAAGCTCAAAACCACCAGTCACCCTGAGGGAGAACAATAAGCGTGACCGTCTCAGAAGCCCACAGGGCAGGCCTGCTCTGTCCTATAGGGCAGCTGTGGGTCAGACTTGACTTGATTTCAGTGAATTTAGTTTTGGTCTGAGGAACTCTGACAAAATTATGTAGCGAGCAAGAAGCCCATTTAAGTATTTTCTATTCTTCAAAGACTTCATTGATCTTATCATCAGCCCTCAGGAATGACTGACAGAACAAATAGAAAGTTTCAAATACGCCGACAAATCTAACAGAACATGGGTTTGACCATTGGAACTTCTAAAGCTAAGATACACCCCTTCTGAACCTCATGAATTAAACCTTTCTGGAGAAAAATATAATGAACCTTAAGATTATCTTTTGGAAGGTCAACCATTGGCTTTGATGTGCTACAAGGAAATTTGCTAAAATAATGTTAAATGTTGCTTTTTATTCATACCCAAGAAAATGATATGAACATAAAAATGTATGCAGACGCTCTTTTCAAAAATTTTAGAGTATTTTGATACTGATTAAATGAATCCCCAATGCACCCTTGGTTAAAATAAAATACCTCCTCCTCTACCACTTTCACCATCTCACAGTGAGCAAGGTGAATAAAATTTTGGTGGTATTTTACCATTTCCCTTTTTTACTTTGCCAGTTATATGACTGATTTTTGGATATACCACCATAACCCTGAGGCTCTCCAGAGAAGTTCTGAGCCTCTGTTCTTATCTGTACTATTACCTTGTACCTCCTTCAAAAGTTAACCACTCAGGTGTAGACAAACTCACTTTGGGGAGTTATCTTTGGGCATTCTAGGCAAAAACATCCCAACAGTTCCTTGCTTTAATTTACCTGAAACATAGAGAACTCAATTCTATGAAGTAAAGGCCATAACATTTTGTTTAGTGATTATACGAATTATCTTACCTCAGTGCCATAGAGCCTCTTCCAACTCAGAATGACCCTGTGTGGGGTTTTAAGACTATGAATATTTCTAGCATTCCAGTAGTACCACCAGGACACAATCCCTCAATGAGTTCAGCCAGAGGAAGAGCTGCCTCTTTAAAGTAGTGTTGACCTTAATGACATGGATGGGGCAAATCTTAAAACCAAATACAAGTAAAAATTTGCAGAAAACAATTCAAAATTATGTAATAGTATACTGACAGGGAACTTCCAGAAATCCAAGCCTCATTTAGAAGAGAACATGGAATAAGGGATATCTTTGCTGACATAAGATGAATCTTGACGGAAAGCAGAGAATAGAGTACAGGTGTTTGCTTGTGTTTTATCGACTATGCAACGATATTTGATTGTGTGGATTGTAACAAACTATGGATGAAATTTTAGTTATCCTGATTCCCCAATGTTACATAGAAATTACTATAGAAACTCTATGGACAATATAGATCCTTATTAATAATGTAATCCTTGCATTTCAGATTCATTTTAGTAGATCAGCTTTTTGTAATTATTACTACTGATGACTCTTGGTTGTTACATATTAATTTTTTCCATATTCAATGATAATTAAAAATTACTATATTTTGTCCCACCCCCACTAGAGTATATATATTTTTGGTCTGGTGGCTCTGAATTTGTTGGTTTACATGGTCAACATCTTCCTAATAATATGGTCACTTGGGTCTCTAACTGAGTGAATGAATGGAGACTATCGGGACAGTTCTCTAGCGGTACTCTTGAAGTTCCTTCCCATGAGCACAGTGCCCAAGCAGCTACCATTGGACCAATGGCGTTCACTGTTTCTACATCACTGAAAGAACCTTCACCTTTTCTGAAACTCTTTTAGTCAGTCAACCTGCTTGGGGGACGATCTCTTAGAAACCTTCTGTGTTAGTCTGGGTTGACTAGAGAAGCACATTCATAGATACTCATATGTGGATAGGAAAGAGCTTTATATATTAAGGAAACATCCCAGCCCAGTCCAAATCAAGTCCTTAAGTCCGATATTCGCCCAGATGTCTGATACCAATCTATAAATTCCTCTTCAGACTCACGCAACACATGCGATGATGTCGGCTGCAGAAAGATCATAGGCCAATGGGTAGAAAGTCTTGTGGATCCAGTGGTGGTGGAAGCATCTCAGTGCTGGCAGGGGTCTCTACGTGGCTTCTTCAGCTCCAGGGCTCTAGTGTTAACTCCATGTGTCTTCTCAACAGGAATGTCTCGTAGGGAGTGTGCCTGTGTCCTGCCTCCAGTGAGCTATTTATTTCCTCAGTGCCTCCAATTGAGGTCATCAAGCTGTGACCTGATTGACAGGCTAAACTTCACCCCTTCACTCTTAAGTCTCAAATTGACATCAGATTATATAGCTACCACACGTTCACTCCATTATTTTGAGTGCCTGTATTAGAAACCTCAATATGAAATGTATCTATACCTCTGGTAAAATTGCCAATGAGGTTGCTGAGGGCATAGATACTTGACGACATCAATAAACCCTCAATATGAAATAGCCACCATGTCCCGTTGCTCATGGGTGAACAACACTAGAATTCTTGAACAAGATAGTTATAAAATTGGTCTCCAGACCTCCTGATTACATGTTGTAAAACCAAATGAATTGTCCAATTCATGTACTAAGGTCTTAGCTCGAAGAGATGAAAGAGAGTCTTGCTGTCCTACTAGTAATCATATTGCTAATGATGATAGGTAAACCTGTAATGATATGCATAAAGAAATATGCTCTGGGTTCTGTTTCTTAAGTACAAAAACGCATGCACATGGACACCATACATTTGCCCACCTTTCTTTATTCAGAACAGATGTCAAACCACCAACCACTTGATACTGATGCATGAACCATGCAGAAGCCTCTGGCTTGCCTTGGCCACTGTTACCCTTTGGGGTCCACTGTATCAAGCAAAGGCTAAACTATCTCCAAAAGTGGCAATGGACAGTAGAGCTGACCCTGTGGGTTTACAACTGTCAATCTTCACGGAAGTAGAAAGGCTCATCTGCTCCTGTGGAGAATCTGGTGTTTTCAAACTGCTGGCCTTGCACTTAGCAGCCTGAGTGTAACCCACTATGCCACCAGGCCCCCTTGGGGCTAAGTATAAAAAAAAAAAAAACACTAAACAAACTAACTGCCCTCGAGTCAATGCCAACTCATAGCAACCCTATAGACAGGGCAGAACTGCCCCTGTGAGTTTCCAAGACTGTAACTCTTTACAGGAGTAGAAAGTCCCGTCTCTCATGGAGTGGGGCAGATGGTAGTGTCCAGCTGCAGACCTTGCACTTAATTTGCATAAAGCACTGTGCCACCAGGCTCCTTAGAGACGAATGACAGACAGAGGAAATCACCACAAAGCCGTGATTAGTGTCCGATCAATTAATTCCAGTGAAAAGTGGGAGTACAGGAGCAAAGAAAAGGCCAAACAAATATGATCAGAAAAATCAATCATCCAGATGAGGAAGACCATCAACACGAAGCCACAGTGGTGTCCAAAGGCTTCATAGACAAGTGGCTACTGAAACTGGAAATTTTAAAAAAGGAAATTGTCACGAAATCACATCTGGAGGCTGATCAATGAATCACAGCTGCAGACATAATGACAGAAGCTTGAAAGGGACCGTACTCAGTAAACATACACTATTGCAGATTAGGAAATTTTACAGACTTGGTTCTGAGGCCCTCTGACAATCTAGGTTGGGATGCAACTGATAACCATTCCTTCCTAGCACCCCAATTTTCATCAAGGGAAAGTCCAGGGAAGCTGCTGAGAGTGAGACTGTCCCTCCTAGGGTCGGCCAAGGGAAGCTACAGGGAACACTCTTTACCTAAAGGCAAAGCTTTTTTTACATTGGCAGTCAATGAACAGAAAGAAATCCACCCAGAAGGAAACACATCAGCCAGTGTGATCCAAGGATTGTAAATAATAAAATTGAAGACCAGCAGAGGGAGTTGTATTAGACTTTAAATTCTGAGCACCCGGTTTGCAGAAGGCTAGGAATGACAGTGAAAGCTCAAAACCCATTTGCAGAATCCTCCTATGGATTAAGCCTCCACTGAACTCTCTTGGACTTCTGGCAAGGGATGTGAACAGTTTTGTCCTCAGACAGGAAAATGGATTACTGCAGATACAGTTAGCTTAAAGTTTAATATCTTACCATTTGTTTTCCCTTTTAACTCATTTTAACTTGTCTGGTTTTCATTGTTTTCTGCTTTCTTGTGGATTGAAGTTTATCTGTGTTTTATTTTGTTATTGTTGGGTGTGGGTTGTATGGTTTTCTTTATATGAAGTCTAGGATAGGTAAATCTCCAGAGACAGTAACTAGAATAGAGCCTTTAGATTATAATAGGGAAACGTGAGGGGCAATGGGTCACTAGTAACAATGGATACAAGAATGAAGAAAATGATCTATAATCAATTGTGCTAATGAGTGCACAACTCTTAATATATTTAAACCATTGAGCTGTTTCTTACATGAAGCATACTTCAGTAAGGTGGTTAAGAAAAACAACTCAATGAATGCTGAGTCTATGTGGAGACTCAAAACGGATTTAGGGCTCCCACTAACTATAAACTGTTGCCTTCTGCAAAGCTGATGCTCCCAATTTAAGCCCTGGTACATGACTGAGACAGTTACCAAGTGGGGAACACCCCTTCTTGGGGTCCCCTGCAGACTCAAAAGATCCTTGCCTGTCCTTGGGAAAAATACACAGATTATGAAAGTAAGGGGTTTTTTTGCTAGCAAGAGTCAGTGACAATTGCTTCTAGGAAAATTAAACTGCTTCCCCAAAAGAAGTGAGGAAGAAGTTTTTATAGGAAAGTTGAGAACAAAGAAATCATACATACTCATAAAATATCTGGGGGCAGTTACACATATTTATAAAAGGGGCCATGCACAATTCATAAGGAGCTGGGCTAGGTCTTGATTTGGAAGTGGGTCCAGTAGCACAGTAGGATGTACTTGGGATGACTACTGGTCTCTTGACACGAGTTCCATCATTCCGAGGTAGCTTTGGGACAAGGTCATGTTTCTCGTGCACATCTGAAGTCAGGTTCTGGTCAGCTGTCTCTGAAGGGCAGAGAGAGAGAGGGAGAGAGAGAATGTGTATGTGTGTGTGTGTGTGTGTAGGGGTCGAGAGTCAGTTGTCTTATCATCTACTTGCTCCTGAAAGAAACATCTGTCTCCTGGGAACATAGCAGCTTCTTGCCCAGGTGAGTGTAATCATTTGGGGTATAGTGGAAATTGTTTTTGAAGCAATTTATCTGTGCAGATGGGCTTCCGTTTAAACGAGGGCACTTTCTACTCCCAGTTTACTCACTGCCCCTCACCTGTCTCAAGACCCACCTTATTGATCAATAATCTGCACTTCTCATTTTTTAAGCCAAAAGTACCTTTTAGAGAACATTCCGTTTCCTCATTGCCATGATCTAGATCTGCTTTCTGTCTATCTATCTATCTATCTATCTATGTATCTATCTATCATCTATCTATCTATCATCTATCTAGGTATCATCTATCTAGGTATCATCTATCTAGGTATATCTTCAAATGAACTATTAATCTGCAGCGACTCTGCTGCAGTGACACAGCACTTTGTGTTTTGTGCCAGGACAAGCGTACTAACTACTCCCAACCTGAGATAGGGTCGCCTGCCGCCAGAACTGACTGCAGGGCAGGGATGACTTGTCATTCTGTGGAATCAGCTGGTCTCGTGCCCAGCGCACGCTAGCAGATCCATCACTCACGTGGCTGCCTTTGTCTTGACTTAACAAAACTCTCTCCTAATTGAGTCTAAGTCTGCGACCATATACTCACTGAACAAAACCTAGGCTTTTCACTGCAGAGGCGGTGCGAACAAGGCTGGCCGGGCCCCAGGCGCGGGGGGAACCACGGAGCCCCGCCGCTGTACGCCCGGAACCCCTCCTCCGCGCACCGGCCGGGCCCGGAACCGGAAGCGGAAGGGTACGTCCCCTCACAGGGTCCGCCGAGGCGCTGGGTCCCGTTTCTGCCGGGCGGTGGGCTTGGTCCGCTGCGGCAGCGTCACGTTGC